CCTCTCTGCTCCCCCTCACACAGCCCCAATGCCCAATCAAACAATATCAGTTAATACTGAATTTCTGTGCTAACAGGCTTGAAACGGTTTTGTGAAGATATCGAGATGATGATTGGATTCCAACCTAGCTATTTCTGGAGAATTTGTTGGGCCTTTGTCACTCCTACAATTCTTACAGTATGTATCGTATCTTCTAATGCTTCCATTTTCTTCATTACTGGATGTCAATACTAGAAACTGAGAAATAACTTGGTACTTTGCGCCATTGTTACATATACTGTATAGACGTCTACCATTATGTGAAGGAATTCGTAGACAAAAGGACCAAGGTCAATCTACCTTGTCTTAGATAGAATCCCAGAATTATTACAGTGAAGACGGAAACCATTCAGCCCATTGTGCCTACACTGGTACCATTTGATCTTGGTATTGGCATGACACAATTATTATGGAACTGTTGACTAATTATAGCACTTTTTTGTGAACTAATCTGTGACAGATCCAACTATAATGTAAGGGTATCTCCTGTGGTGGAAAATATGGTTTACAAAGTTACCTGTTCCTCCCAGTTATGCTACACTTTTTGTTAGGGTTATTGGCCCATACTTTACTGATGGTTTAAGTAGCAATCAGATACAGGAAAATTTAGCTTTAGTTCTCACTATTTGCTACTCGACATCTTCTCTTGGATCTTTCAGGTTGCCATTCAATTTACAAGGACTTACGATGTTTTCAGTAATAATTTGCATTAATATAATGGCTTTAATGTAGGAAGGAAAATCGTGTTACAGAGAAGCACACTCAGCCAAACACTAAAAATGAGCCATAGAAGGAGACATTTATACAGGCAACAAAATATCTGGGCTCAGGGCTCTAATTTAGGGAGTTTCTTGTAAGCAGAGAGAGAGATAGAGACAGAGCAATGAAGTCAGTTTATTTTTGGCTGACTATGCTTCTGTGAAGCATTTTGGCATATTTTTCTACGTTAAAGCCATTACATCACTCCAAGTTATCATTGTAAAAGTGTTACATTCTTGAAGAGCAATACCACCCAAGTTTAGTGCCTATATTGACAGAACATCTTGTATATATTGAACCTTTATGTCACATTATCATCAAAAAGAATAAAAAAATCTTTCAACAATGTCATGAACTACCAAAGCAAAACTGAATTGCTTTGCGACGTAACAAATCCTGAAATTGCATTACAATTCTTTTTTGACAAACCTAAGGCAACTGCTATTTTATGTAATTTGCACCATGAGAGATTAGTTTCACCAATGGAACACTCAGTATGCATAAGTAATCAGAGTCTATTTTCAAGATGTCTTAATTAATAGCCTGATATCTGGGCAGCTACTCATGTCGGGCAATTTCCACCTTCAGTGTTTAAAATACTCATTAGAGCTTTAAGAGAAATAATTTACAAAAATCATTACATGACATTCAGATGTGACTCCTTCAACACAGGCTTCAGTGGAGTATTGAGGAAGAGTTGCATTGTCAGATCGATCATCTTTCAGAGTTCTTGCCTGCTCTCTGGTGGTCATAATAAATTCCTATTGTACCATTCAGAGAAGATAAAGGATATAATCCTGATATTTTCTCTCAGTAGCATCACTAAAATAGTTTATCTGACCATTTATCTCATTGTTACTGATGGAACTTTGTTGTGAGCAGTTTGCTGCTATATTTGCTTTCATTACACTGGACCGAAATACTTAGCTGACTGTGAAGTCTTTTGGAGTGGACCTAAAGGTGCAATATAAATAATTTATTTATCAGTGCAAATTGATGAGGTGATGAGCAAGTGCATTACATTCATTGCGTGAAATATGTGTTCATGCTGCATTTTATGTGTAGCATAGGACATTGACATATATCCATCAACATTAATTTACTGCTAAGTGGTTCTCTAATGTATTTGATGTTGATGGCAAACTGTAATGCAGTGGAATAGATTACAAACATTCTATGGTAGGGATATATTAAGGTAAGAAGTTCCATATCTCTTGTGAAGGCCAGTGGATGAGCATCGCAGGGTCTAATGGTCTTTTCAAAGTTGATTTATATGTTGGTATGTTTATAGCCTGGAGTTCCTTTTACCTATGCATTTGTTGGATTAGAACAACTTAATTGTTAATAATTGAAACAAACTGTAGAGCTCACTTTCTGAATAATAAACCTATGTGTATTTCTTTCATTTTCTAGTTCATCCTTTGCTTCAGCTTTTACCAGTGGGAGCCGATGACATATGAAAATTACAGATATCCAGCTTGGTCGATGGTGATGGGATGGTTAATGCTGGCCTGCTCTGTCATATGGATCCCGATCATGTTCGTGATTAAGATGCATTTGGCCCCTGGTTCCTTTATAGAGGTATAATGTTTTGGATCTGTATCTTGAAAGTACAGCTTTAGGGCTGTTTGTGTTGTAATGAGCATTATTTGAATGTTTTGTTTTTAGTTCTGAAATTGTGTTTTACATTTTCAGAGGCTTAAGCTGGTGTGCAGCCCCCAACCCGACTGGGGTCCATTCCTAACTCAGCACCGTGCAGAACGCTACAAGAATATGATGGACCCCCTTGGGACCTCTTCTCTTGGACTCAAACTGTCACCCAAAGACATGGAATTAGGATCTCAGTTCTAGTATTCACTATCCCTCTACATAAATATATGGGTTTAACATAGTTTATTATTTGGATATTTTACCTGTTTTTAGTATACCTGTCCACTCAAATTATGGCATCATCACTTTGAAATAATTCTTTTTTTTTTACTTGCATTTCCCCTCCATACTGTCATTCCTTTTCTCTTCAGTTTTCATGATCCACTTATATTTCCCTCTTATCCTTCCACATTCTTTGTTTTCCATTTATTCCCTTCATTCTTTCACTCAATCTCCCTCATTGTCCATCACCCCTCCCTTTAGCACGTGATGTTAATCCAGAGTTCCTTGACTCTTGTTATCTCTCTTTACTGGTCTTCATTTGCTACTCACTTCAATCTGTTTCCCTGATCCCATCTTCCTCCCAGCTACTTCCCAATTCCAAATTTTTCCCACCCATTTCACTCACCTCCCTGTCCTCCCACTCACATATGTTTTGCCTACAGAATCTGTCCTGTGATTTGTGCCTAACAGTTATCTCAATCTATACATTCTAGTTTCCTTATTTACTTTATCTGCAGCTGAAAAAAATTGTTGTGCAATTCTACTTATTACGTTGCCAAATACTGGAAGAACTTGTAAAAGTAATGCATTGTACAGTCTCTTGCTGTTTGACTTTTTTTCCAATAGAGGCTGGGGTTAATATGTTCACTCCAACCTCTGCAGCACCAAGACAATGTTAACTGTTCCTGCTCCCAATAATTGGCCAGACTGTATTTTCTTCATGTTATGATGTGACTTCTAGTTGTCCATGCTTTTAAAAATGTGAGCTGTGTTCATATAGTGCGTAGTAGTGGTGTCACGTCCCTCTAAGTATCTTATGAAAAACGTAGAGATGGTGAGCATAGTGTAGTTTTAACCAAAAAAAAGAAACCTCCTTAAAACAGTTTAGTCTGAAATTTACAGTAGTTGTCTTCCGGGGATTTTCTGTCAATATTTCTGTCTGTCTGTCTTCGTGTTAAGAGGGTCTCAGGTAAAATTTACGTTCATGATTTTGTTTATTTTATACGTATGTTTAATCCTCATCAAATGATGTCATTGTTTTCCATATAGAGTATAGACCTCTTTCAGTGTTCAAACCCATGAAGACCATTTATAGATGTGTTTCCCCTGGTATTTGCTGACCAATCAGCATCCTGATATTGATCATATAATAATATATAAATATTGAAAGAACATGTATTAGTCATTTTGCACCTTAATGTTAGTTGCAATACTTATTCTCAGTCTTGTTATCCTATAAGCCATCTTCAGGCAGTGGGTACCAAAGACAGGTTGTGTCTGAAAGCTGAGTGAAGCCGAAAGCTGCTGAAGCACATTTTTCTTATTAAGTTTACACATTGTCTTTCCATACATCAGGTTGACCATTGGCCTTATTGATGTGTCCCAGCGTCAGAAATAAAAGTTGTATTTGATGAAACGTAAATAGTGTAACCTATACTTTGCCATATGTAGTAAGTCATTTGTATTGTGACATGTGTGGTGTCCTCAGACACTTTAAGTGGACCTATCTCTGTATAGGTTAATTCCTAATTACTTACGTAATGTCATGTATATTTATGTGCATCCCATATGGGGTACTGCTGCCTATGGATACAGATACGTGCCTCAAATCAGGCCATCAGAGTCATTGATTGATCTCACACATTTACAGGTATACATCTAAGTTAATGTAAGTGTCTCATTCCCTATGCTTGATGGCTATCTTGCATACGTAATGTGCACGATTCATTTAATAGATCATTATTCTTGAGGCCCTACCTCAGATTTTGTATCTATGTGTATAAATACGACTTAATGCATTATACATTTGCCTCTATGATGTCCAAATTAGAGATTATCCTATAATGTAACTTGAAGAAACACGAAATAAATGTCATTTTAAATGTCACACGTGTGCTTTCAGTGCGGAAGCGGTGCGTTTACTCTGAGAGGCTACAATTCAGTGGGATTTGGGATGACACTCGGTGCTTCTGTTCCTCCATCCACATCCTTGCTGGGTTAGATTCACTGGCACATTTTCTCGAAGGAGAAGCTGGGGTTTGAACGTGCAGGAGTGTGGATGTTGGAGGATAAGGCAGGATAAGAATGAACTGAATCCAATTTACTATGGAATTGCTCGACTGGATTCGGTGACCGCCGGCGAGGTAGCAATATAAACCTGGAAACGGGGGGTGTGGGGAAGGGCGAGGTGCCCGTGGTAAAGAGAAGGCAGAGGCTGCAGCATCAGCTCAGGCAGAGCTCCCCTGAAGGGGAAAGAGGGAGGGAAGGAGGGGGCTTGTCCTGTCAATATCTGTGAGTGTGCACAGGATTTCGACACTCTACACACCACTCACACCCCCCTATCCCATCGAGGGTGGACTGCTCCTCGGAGGAACATCAGGCGTTTCCAGGATCTGCCAAGTGGTAGACAGACATACAGAGAGAGAGAGCGCACTGCACTGGCCAAGTTCAGACAAGTAAAGTGAGGAAGCAGCTCCCCGTGCTGTGATATTTACAAACATACAGCAAAGCGGGGGGGAAAAAAAACAACAAACATACACACAGACAGAGAGAAGGCAATTAAAACATCCAAGGACGAGGAAATGTTGCAGCAGAAGCAAATGGATTTAATTCCGATGATTTTAGCTTTCATGATCTCTGCAAAACCAGGTAAGGTTTTGATGATGCCAATGCATCCTTCTGAAGAAACCGCGGCCCCTTTTATTTTACCTTTTGCCTTTTATTTATTGTTGGGAAGTTGTGTGTTTGAGGGATAAGTGTTAGACTCCAGTGTTAGAGGGGAGCTGAACAGCGGCTGTCCCCTCTCCTGCTTCTAAGAAGCTTGTTGATTTCAAATCAAAGGCGAGTTTATTCCCTTTCCAAATCCTTCCTTTCTCCGGTGAAATGGATAGATCTTGCCCGGGGGTCAGTCTAATGGAGCTTGACTTGATTCTCTGAAGCCTGTGTGAATACAGGCAGTCCCACTGGAGATTTTGTTAAACACGGGGCTGCGCACGGCTTCCCCTGCTCTCCCCAGACCCTTCTTATTTTCAGCTACTTTATTTGAGCTGTGCGAATTGAGAATGCGCACAAAAACAGAAGTTGCAGGAAAAGCTCAGCATCTGGCAGCATCTGTGAAGAAAAAAAAAATCAGAGTTAACATTCCGGGTCCGGTGACAGATGCTGCCAGAACTGCTGAGCTTTCCCAGCAACTTCTGTTTATGTTCCTGATTTACAGCATCCGCAGTTCTTTCGGTTTTTTTTTAATTGAGAATGCGCACGTTTGTTATTCTGAACACTGTTTTCCCCATCGCAATATAGAGTTCCCGTCATTGCTCGGATTAATTGTAGTCAGTAAAATTAAAGTTCAGAAACTGTCCTGCCTGCTCTGATCGGAGTCCATTTGGTCCTCAGCTTTGAAGTCAGCTGGGAATGTATCGCCTTGCTCACTTTAGGTTGATTTTTTAAAAAGAGAATTAACTTCATGCAAATTTGTAGCGGCCCGGGTTGTGAGTCTGCTGTGGGGTAGGGCTGCTGTATAAAGCGAGAAATCCATCCATCCATTCATTAGAAAGCGACATATCTCGAACCGCCCTGATATTGAGCAGTAAATAAACCGGGGGCTAGCATTAAGTACTATGCTTCACTCTCCAAGGTGACAACTGTGTGGAGGGCTGACCTGGGTCAGGTGTGTGTGTGTGTGTGTGTGTGTGTGTGTGGGTGTGTGTCTTAGGGAGAGAGGCTGTTAACCATTTGTGGCCCGACTCCTTAACAGAACTAGGCTGCGTTTTCTTCTGCGCGTTTCTACGGGAGATGTTAGGATTGTAAAACAAAAATCCGTGCTTTCACGCCGAGTTCATAGTAAACTCAATTTTAAGGGCTTTAAAAGCTGCACCAGCGATTCATGAATTAACAACGACAAAGAAAAAGTGATTTGAATTGATTGGAAGAGGCTACAGATTGAAATCTGACAATGCAGTTGAAACTAAGAAGAACTGAAGTTGCTGGAGAAACTCAGCAGATCTGGCAGCACCTGTGGAGAGAAAGCCGAGTTAGCGTTTCGGGTCCAGTGACTCTTCTTCAAAACAGTCAGAGAATTGGTCTTTACTGATAGACAGGAAACAAACATTTTGCTTTATTTAAACTTTGCACAGTGCAGCTACCCTGTTGCTAATCCTGTTTTGTTTTTCTAGTCTTAGGGTTTGGAATGGACCCTGACTTGCAAATAGATGTCACCACAGAACTGGAGCTAGATAATGCAAGGACGGGAGTTGCTCAGGTACCAGGATTATATAATAACAGCAGAGCGTATTTGTTTCAAGGTAAATAGGACAACTAAATCAATCATTTTCCTTCACCTTTTTAGCCTTTTCCCACCATCCATATAGCTAGGCTTTCTCTCCCACCCCATCTCTGTTTCTCTCCCTCAGTATTAACAAACCTCTTTTAGCTAACTTGTGCTTCTAATGAAAAGTTAAAGTGCAAACAGCGCATGTGTAGAGTGGATAGGCAAAACTAATATCTCAAGCATACACACAGATTCCAAGTTCAGAAATAGAGGGGGATTCAAGTCATTAGTCTTCAAATCATCATGGTGGTCATAGATGAAACCTCTCCGATGAAGGCCATCAAACATATCATATCTTATTCATGAGTTTTATGATGTTTGCTGAAGCAAGCAAAAGGCAGACAGATTTTAAACAAAAATCACTATTGTGCCAAACAGTAAAAGGTTGCAGTATGTGTGTATGTGATTTTAAGCCATAGAGTCATAGTGAAGGATCCTTCAGTCCAACACATCCATGCCAACCAAATACCCTAAATAAATCTAGTCCCATTTGCAAGCATTTGGCCCATATCCCTCAAAACCCTTCCTATTCATATACCCATCCAGATGCCTTTTAAATGTTGTAATTGTACCAGCCTCCACCACTTCCTCTGGCAGCTCGTTCCATACACGCACCTCTGCATGAAAAAGTTACTTTTAAGTCTTTCCTCTCTCCCCTTAAAGCTGTGCCCTCTAGTTTTGGACTCCCCTACCCTGGGAAAAAAGACTTTGACAATTTACCCTATCCATGCTCCTCATCATTTTATAAACCTCTATAAGGTCACCCCTTTCCTCTGATGTTCCAGGGAAAGTAGCCCCAGCCTATTCAAACTCTCCCTACAGCTCAAACCACCCAAACCCAGGCAACATCCTTGTAAATCTTTTTTGCACCCTTTCAAGTTTAACAACATCCTTCCTATAGGAGGGAGACAAGAATTGCACACAATGTTCCAAAAGTGGCCACACCAATGTCCTGTACTGCTGCAACATGACATCTCAAGACCTATATACTCAATGAACTGACTAATAAAGGCAGGTGTACCAAATGCCTTCTTCACTACCCTGTCTACCTGTAACTCCACCTTTAAGGAACTGTGAACCCGCACCCCAAGGTCTTTTTGTTTGGCAACACTCCCCAGGACCCTACCATATAAGTTCAGCCCTGATTTGCCTTTCCAAAATACAACACCTCACATTTATCCAACATGATTAACTAAAGGGTAAGGGAGATGCTGAGGCTGTTGGACTCTTCACCTTGTGCTTTCCTTCTTGTGGTTAGTAATGAACTGATAGATTTAATGTCCTGATCCTCCAGTAACTGATGGAAGTGAGACCATATTTCTGTTTGCTGGCTCTCTTTTCAAATCCACAAAGGATCTGGTAAAATTGAGATTTAGGCAGTGCATTTGGGTAACCTTGTACCGTGGCTTTTGACATTGCATCATCTGTAAAATAGGCCAAAAATGTGATTTGTCAAGAACACATTGCAAAGAAGCTCTGGGTAGATTTTACTTTCCCTGTCTGGCAGATTAGTGTAAACCAAGCCTGTAAACTTTCCAAAAATAATGCACATTTCATATGGGTACAGCAACTGATTTAACTTTCTTTGATTGCTGAACCCTGTTTTGTATTTTATTGTGAGACAAAGGGGGTAGCAGGTAGCACATTTTGTACATAAGCACACAAAACACATAGGTTCCTGAAAGGATTTGACATACAGTTGAAATCACTATAGCCCTACCAGACCATAGGACTGCTATCTCATTAGAGAGAGAGATGACTGGTGGTGGTGGCTTAAGCTGATGGTCATCATCCTGAGGAGAGTCCTTCATGGCAACCCCAGTTGGTGTAGGAATTAAATCCTGCTGTTGGCTTCAATCTGCATTGCAAACCAGCTGTCCAGCCAACTTTTTTTCCTTTATTCATTCATGGGATGAGGGTGTTGCTTTTAGGCAGCATTTATTGCCCATCCCTAAGTGCCCAGAGGGCAGTTGAGCGTCAACCACATTACTGTGGGTCTGGAGTCACATATAGGCCAGACCAGGTAAGGATGGCAGTTTCCTTCCCTATAGAACAGTAGTGAACCAGATGGGTTTTTTTTTGACAATCAGCAATGGATTCATGGTCATCACTAGATTCCTAATTCTGGATAGTTTTTATGAATTCAAATTCCATGATCTGCCATGGCGGGATTCGAACCTAGAATGTTATATTGGACTCTGGATTAACAGTCCAGCAATCAAACCAGTAGGCCATTGCCTCCTGAGCTAACTGAGCTAACCAACCCTCTGGTCTTGACACGGTGGATGTGCAAAAGATGTTTCCCCTTATGGAAAAAATGTAGGAACTAGTGGTCGCTGTTTAAGTATCGGGGCGCCCATTTTGAAACAGGGATGAAGTTTTTTTGACCCACAGAGGGTCATGGGTCTTTGCAACTCTCTTCCTCAAAAAGAGATTGGAAGTAGAATCTTTGAATATTTGTAAGATGGAGGTAGATTCTTTGCAAGAAAGAAAGTGAAAGGTTATTTGGCAGGAAAGAGGATTTGAGGTTAAGATCAGATTGGCTATGACTCATTGAATGATGGAAGAGTGTCGAGGGGCTGAATGGCCTCTTCCTGTCCCTAATTCCTGTATTTGTATAATGATAAATGGAGCCTAAACAAAGAGGTATGATTGCATTAATGTCCAAGATTTGAAATAGAGCTTTCACTCATGAAAATTTCTGCTGGTATGCTAGGTCTCATCATTCCATTGCAATAATGATCCATGTCTGTGCTCTTCTGCTTTCATTCTAAGGGTTAATTACTCAGGGTTAATTCAGTATAATTACTCAGAATATGTTGGTTTTTGGGGTTTACTCACCTTCTGACATTTGTAGAATTTTACTTGAACCCAATAGACTGATGTTTCCAAGTTCTGAAATATAATTGTGTGCAATGTTTAAATTCATGAATACTCAGAACTGTTTTAAATGTCCAAACAACACTGGGGTGAGGTCTCCATCATTTGCCCTGATTTACTTTATAGAACAAAACATAAATGCCCTTTCAGCCCGATGCCGTCACTGTTTTGAATTGGTTGAACTTCCCAGGGAATATAGACTGAACATTTGGAGCTCACCACCCTTCATGTGTTCTGCACAGAATGATTTTCAATGATGAATTTCAAACTAGATATAATGCTCATCTAGCAGGCCTATAACTAACACAGAAAATCTGAAGACTGGATTGTAAATCCCTTCTTTAATTTATCTGAACAGATAATCACTAATCAAGATTGGAGTTATTATTAGCAGCAGATGTTAAAAGTGATTGAGCAGATGTCATGAGAAGGCCATCCTTCATTTAAAAGGCTGGTTCTTTGCCATCTTCTGTGTTGAATTCATTTTGAAGTGAGCCATAGCAAGCATAAAACAGAGAAAATGCACTTGTGACATTCCTGTTCCCAGGTGCTGAATATCTAAAACATAATTGCTGGTGTGCAGCAAAAAGCTCTTATGCTTCAAGGGATTACAGTTCAGCCTTTTTCTTATTCATCAACTTGTATCAATAATACAGTAAACAGTCAATAAGTCTAAATTTTCCAGACATCACTCCATGTTGACACAAATGAGAAGCTGGCGTGCCATCTTTAAACAAACCGGCTGCAAAGTTTGACAAAGGAATTCTTGATTTGAACATTGAAATGACTCCCTGACTACATCCGACCAACTTAAAAAAAAATCACTTGGAACTATTGGTGAAGAGGTTTACATGCTTTCATATGACAATAACTCATGAAGACTGAATTTCCTGAATAAAGTATGCAAATATTCCTCCATTGTGTATTGTGCTCTGAATGCCATATAAGAATTGATTCATCAACTCATCTCATTCTGTGTTCCTATTTTACAGATTTGTGCAAAGGCCTTTGAGTTTTATTATTTGATGTTGAGCTTTGCACAATATATTCATAAATGCATTTGGAGATGTGGTTGCTGAACAGATAAATGTTAATTATTTCCAAATGTTGGAAAGTAAAACAGAGAGAGAGCTTTACTCAGAGCATCCTGAGGAGAACAGCAGTGGGGGATGTCAGGGGAATAGTGTTGGATGATTGCATCATATGGCTTGTGTTGTGATTGATTGTACTTGTTTTCCCTCAGATGTGGAGAGACAGATACAGGCGGCTCCACACGTTGCGGAGAAAGTGATTCAGCTGCTTAGAAATAAAAGCGAGTTCACAATTGTAGCCACGGTCCAACAAAACATTTTGACCTCTGGGGTCATCCTGTCCATCCATGAGTCTGATCTCAGGTAGAGTAATGTGCAGCGTACCCTGTGAATACATGATTGATAATTTTAACAAGCAAGCCTGCAAACTATTGGTTAACACTATATACAAGCTTCATAAGTTAAATGGCATTCTTCAAACTGTGTGTAAATCTTGGGTGAAAATGGGTCATTGGAAACATTTCATGATTTAAGAGCTAATATGATTTTTTAGCTGTGGCTTTGATGCAATCAACCTTTGGATGCAATACTGGCACTCACTGAGGTTGATTTCATATCATTTTATGTGCATCAAGTGCAAAATAACGGGTTGCTTTTGGGAGGATTGCAAGGTAGTAAGCCAATGAAGGTTGAAAATGTTGCCATAAACTATGCAGGCATAGCTGTATCCATTTACCAATCCCTCCTTAATCTTGAGTACTGGTTGTTGTAGTGTCTCTTCCTTCCTGTTTCATTTAATGCTTATTTCTTTACATATAGTGCTACTGGGCACTTTTATGATTTTTTTTCTGTAGTTTGGCTGAGGGTCAGTGACTTTACTGTTCTCACAGTTACACTGCTGAGACATAGCCTCTTTCTCCAAATAGCAGAAGCTTGCAGAGTAAGAAAGACGAAAGTCTTTTATTTCTGTAGTGTTATTCCCAGCCATAGGGCATATCAAAACATTTTACAGCCAATTGGTTATTTTTGAAGTGCAGCATCAGTGGTAATTTAGGAAAGTGGCTGCTAATTTGTACAGCAAACTCCCACAAGGAACATTGTGATAAACTATCAAATAATAGTCACATTGTTTGAGAGGAAAATATTCATCCAGATACCCTATTACTCTTTGAAATTCTGGTTTGGAAGCTTTACTGTCCATGCAAGGGAGAAGGCAGGGGTATAACCAAAGGACAGTATCAGTGATACTGTAGCAATTCCTCAGTTCTGCACTGTAATTTCAGTCTACATTATTCTCTCAGGTTTCCCCAGATTGACAGGTGAGATAACCACCATTGATTCAAGGCTGATATAATAGAATTATGTTTTAATTCTGTGAGCTAAATGGGGCAGCTGATCTTAGCAATGCAACTGCAGGAGGTGGCATCACTGATTTGAGACGTATATTGTGAATGAGTGGAAACGTACTGGGTAAAGTATTTCAACTTGGGCACTGTGTGATCAGCAATATGTCAAAATGGTGCATTCCTACTTCTGCAAAAAAAATTGAAATATTGTGCTACCAGTGTTTGGAGGCCAAAGAAAAAGCGATAGGACATGCTCATTTTTCTGTTCTGTTAATCTCCACTTACTGAACTGGGTAAACAGTGAAACCCCCCAGCTCATTGATGTTGGACAGTATCTTAAAAAAAAAAGTCCCAGCCTTTCCTTATAAACTCAAACCGTTGTATGATTCTATGACTCTATTGTGTACACAATCTGTTATTGATTTTGTTCTAACAATGTAGAAGTGCCTAAGCTTGCTGCATAGTTGTGTCCAGACTTGAAGGACAATGAATTATTTTGCAGGCATTAAATAATGCCAAGTGATGAATAGGAAATAATAAATTGTCATTATTTGTTATAGCAAAGTTGATATAATTGTCGCTGATTATTTTGGAACAGAAAATTGTCAGCAAGGTACAGAAAAAAAAAACAAACAATTCTCATACTCTTGAAGAAGGCTGGTAGAATTTACTGTTCATAACTAAATTCTGTTTCATAATTCTGGATTGTAATATGTTGACGTGAGTCCATCAGAAGTCTACTGTGATGATACTGACACTACCTGAGGGATTAATAAAATGACCTCTCATGTGTTAGTGACTCTACGTTTCAGGCATATAGTGTTCACTAGTTCTGAGATCCATATCCTAGGAGTTTCAACTGTTAAGACATTGGAAAGTGTTGATATCCAAAGGGACCTAGGTGTTTTATTGTAATCACTGAAAGGTGCAGGTGCGGCAAGAAATTTGAAAGACAAAAGGCAAGTTGTCTTTATTGCAAGAGGATTTGAATATAGAGTAAAGAGGTTTTTCCTCAGCTGTATTAGGACACTGGTGAGAATGCACCAATATAGAAGCATAGAAAATAAAAGCAGGAGTAGGCCATTCAGTCCATCGAGTCTGGTCCATCATTCAACATGATCATGGCTGAAGATCTAATTCAATACCCTTTTCCTGTATTCTTCCGTACCCTTTGATCCCTTTAGCCCAAAGAACTATAACTAACTCCTTCTTGTAAACAGTCAGTATTTTGGCCTCAACCACTTTCTATAGCAGAGAATTCCACAGAGAATTTCAGCACTATCTGGGTGAAGAAATGTTTCCTCATCCCAGTCCTAAATAGCCTACACAAAATCCTTAAACTTGGTTCTTGACTTGCTGGTCATTGGGAACATCCTTCCTGCATTTACCCTGTTAGAAATTTAAAGGTTTTAGTAGGTTTCTATATGTTTCTACCTGGTATATAACTGGAATATTGTGTGCTGTTTTGATGCCCTTGCCTGACGAAAGATCTGTTTGCCATAGTGCAGCAAAGGTTCACTAAATCGATTCCTGGGATTGTGAGACTGTCTTATGAGGAGATACTGAGGACACTGGGCCTGTATGCTCAGAATAAAGGACAAGTAATTCAGGACTGAGATGAGGGAGGAATTCATTTGCTAAGTGAGTGGAAAATCTTTGTAATTTTCTATCCCAGAGGACTGCACAAGCTCTATCATTGAGAATGTTCAAAACAGAGATCAATAGTTTTCTTATTACGCATGATAACAAAGGATCTTGGCATAGCGTGGGAGTTTGACATTGGGATAGCTGATCGGCCACAGTCTTGAATGGTGGAGCAGGCTCGACGGGCTGAATGGCCTACTCTTCCTCCTATTTTTATGGTGTGATCATATCATACAAGCCTGAACCATAGAAATTCAGAACACAGTCGGAGACTTGTCAAAACTCTGGTGATTCCAATATATTTGATTGTGGAATATAGACAAGCTCAGTTGCTTTTCAATTGAGATTAAAATCTGACTTGATATTTTACAACTGTGTCCCCATACTGTCACTCCTATTACCTGGTAGGTGTCACTTTCTAATTATTTGTAGGTCATAACAGCGTGGATTTCAAAGGGGCAAATTTCATCCATCCAATTATTTCAATAAAGGTGCAACCTAAGTAGAAGCTTGATTTGGTTTATTATTGTCACATGTACCTAGGTACAGTGAAAAGTTTTGTTTTGCGTGCAGTACAGGCAGATCATACCATTCAAAGATTATAGGGTGATAGAACAAAGTGTGGAATACAAAGTTATGGTTGCAGAGAAGGTGCACGAGAAGCAAGATCAACATTAGATTTGAAATTTGAGAGGACCATTCAGAAGTCTGAAAACAGCCAGAAAGAAGCTGTTCCGGAACCTGTCAGTGTGTGTTTTTAAGCTTTTATCTTCTGCCTGATGGAAGAGGTTGGAAAAGATTATAACTGGAGTGGGAGGGGTCTTTGTTAGCTGCCTTTCCAAGGCAGTGAGAAGTGTAGATGGAGTCAATGGATGGAAGGTTGACTTGGGTGATGTACTGGGTCGTGTTCACGACCCTGTGTAGTTCCTTATGGTCCTGGGCAGAGCAGTTGCTATACCAAGCTGTGATGCATCCAGATAGAATGCTTTCTATGGTGCACCTATAAAGGCAGTACATAAATGGTAAAAGATTAGTTAGCTAACAAGAAGCAGAGAATAGGGATAAATGGATCTTTCTTGGTTTGTCAAGTTGTCATTAGGGTTAAAGGGATCAGTGCTGCATCCTCAACTATTTACAAACAATATCAATTATATGGATAAGGGATTGAATGTAATGTAGTTAAATTCCATAGAAACAGAGATTTTTACAAAGCAGAGAGAGGCCATTTGAACCATTATGTCTGAACTGGCACCCAAAATACCTACCTACTTGTCCCATTCTCCAAACATATGTCAGTCACCCACTAAATTCATCTCTTTCAGATATATATCCAGCTCTCTTTTGAAACCTCCAATGAAATCTGCATCTACCACTCTCCCAGGCAGTGCATTTCAAATCCTAATAACTCTCTGAGTAAAGAAGTTTCTCCTTATCTTACTCCTAGCCCTTTTGTTGACCATCTTGAAATTGTGACAAAAAAACAGAAATTGCTGGAAAAGCTCAGCAGGCCTTACAGCATTTGTAGAGAGAAATCAGAGTTAACATTTTGGGTCGATGATCCTTCCTCAGAACTGGTTACTGACATATCAACTAGAGGAAAGAGAATATGCTTCTTTACCCTGCCAAAATTTTCCATAAATTTGAACACCTCAGTAAGGTCACCTCTTAATCTTCTCCCCTGCAAGGAGAATAAACACAATTTCACTCATCTTTCCTTTTTTCTAAAACCCCTCATTCCTGGCATCATTCTAGTACATATCCTTTTCACTTTCTCCAGGGCTTTACCAAGAACTGACCACAATACTCCAAATGTGGTCTGACCAATGATTTGTAAAGGTGTGGCATTACTCCCTTGCTTTTTATACTCTGTATCCCTGTTTATAAACCCAAGGCTCCTACAAGCTTTCTTAACAATTGTTTCTACTTGCCTGGCCACCTTCAGAGCTTATGCACATGAACCTCAAGTTTCCTCTGCACCTGTACTCCCCTCAGAGTAGTACTATTGAGCCTGTACAGTCTCTCTGTGTTTCTTCTACCAAAATGCAATGTGACACATTTGTTTGCATGAATTTCATCTGCAAGGTGTCTGCCCATTTGACCAATTTGTCAATTTCCCTCTGAAGTCACTTAGATTCTCCCCAGCTTAGTATCATCTGCAAATTTAGAGATTTTGCCCTCAATGTCCATCTGCAAATCATTTATATAAGTCAAAAAAATAAAGAGTCCCAACACCAACCCCTGGAGAACGTTGCTTTCAGCTTGTCTCCAATCTGAGAAATGTCCATCTGTATTTACCCTCTGTTTCCTACTTTTACTCAACGTCTAATCCATGCTGCTGAGGATGTATCAATCCCAAACATTCCTACTCTGTTA